TCTTTTTTTTTTTTTTTTTTTGGATAGGCAGAGTGGACAGTGAGAGAGAGAGACAGAGAGAAAGGTCTTCCTTTTGCGTTGGTTCACCCCACAATGACTGCTGCAGCCGGTGCACCACGCTGATCAGAAGCCAGGAGCCAGGTACTTCCTCCTGGTCTCCCATGTGGGTGCAGGGCCCAAGGACTTGGGCCATACTCCACTGCACTCCCGGGCCACAGCAGAGAGCTGGACTGGAAGAGGAGCACCCGGGACAGAATCCGGCACCCCGACCGGGACTGGAACCCGGTGTGCCAGCGCCGCAGGCAGAGGATTAGCCTAGTGAGCCGTGGCGCTGGCCAATTTCCCTTGCTTCTATATTTTTCCATCTGCCATAGTCTGATGTTTCTCCCCTCCATGTATAACTCCATTCCCTTAGAAAAGTATAGTCCTCTCTCAACCCTCAAGTTATCATTATCCCTTTAGTCTTTTTTTAATTTATTATTTATTTATATTTATTTATTTTAAAGGCAGAGTTACAGAGAAGCAGAGAGAGAGAGAGAATCTTCCATCTGCTGGTTCACTCCCCGGATAGCCACAACGGCCTGAGCTGTGCTGATCCAAAGGCAGGAGCTTCTTCCGGGTCTCCCATGTGGGTGCAAGGGCCCAAGGACTTGGGCCATTTTCCACTGCTTTCCCAGGCCATAGCAGAGAGCTGGGTCGGAAATGGAGCAGCCGGGACTTGAACCCATGCTCATATGGCCACAGCGTTGGCCCTCTGTTGACTCTTCTTTTCATTCTAGCTCCACACCTGGTGGGGATGGGGCTGCACTTGCCATGCTTCCTTCCTCTTGGTTTGCTCCTTCTTTAGCCTATAGCCATCAGACTTCCCATGTCAGTTCTCCACAGGAGATTTTATTGGGAAAACCAGGCCTCATTTCAAGGATGAGACTCGAGTTTTTTCAAGAAGTCTTGAATGTTAGGACACTCCGGCTCGGTCCCACCAGCCACTAGAGAGAACAGCAATCACAGATTCTACCCCAGCTCCATGAGCTGCCTTGCAGCTCTGTCCTGATGAGGAAGTTCCTGCCTCTCCCAGGCCCACACACTACCTGGCTACAGATAAATAGTTTGTACTATACCTTTGTGTTTCCACCTGTCTCTAGGCCACTCCAGGATGAAAGTAATCATCATCTGTGCCCATTCATCTTGGCCTTGGCCAAGCCCCAAGATCACCCATTTTCATAGGGCCACTCACCTCCATACTGGTTGGCATGTATCTCACTCTGACTCCATCTTCCACCTCCCTCCAACTTCTCAAACCTTCCCCTCTCTGGACTCAAGTTCTCTCGTTAGAAAAAGTCCTACATCCTCTACTTATTTGTTGTTTCTCTTAACTTTCCTGTTCTAAAGGAAACTAGGCTATTGCCTCTACTCTGGTTCCCTTGTATCTCTCCCCAAGTAAGATAATTTTATTCTCACAACACAAGAAATCTGGGGATGGAGTAATGTCCAACCTTTCCCCCCTTGCTACATCCAATTCATTTCTTCCTTTAAATTAATTAATTTATAAAGGCAGAGGCAGAGAGAGAGAGAGAGAGAGAGAGCAAGAGAGAGAGCTAGAAATATCTCCCATTTGGGACTCCAAGGAACTGGGGCAATAAATATCTGAGAAGCTACTTATGAAGGAAGGAGGTTTATTCTGGCTCACACATTGGGGAGTCACTTGGTTTACTCCCCAAATTCCTGTAACAGATGGGGCTGGGCTAGGCCAAAGCCAGCAGCCAGGAATTCAATTCAGGTCTTCACGTAGGTGGCAGGGAGCCAACTACCTCAGTTATCACCTGCTGCCTTCCTTGCAGGAAGCTGGAATTGGGACTGGAGCCAAGGCTCAGACCTAGCACTCTGATATGAGATGTGGGTATCGCAAGTGATGTCTTATCTGCTTCACAAATGCCTGCCACTCTTCCCTGTCCCCCTCCACCTTCTTCATTTAAAAACACATCTTCTTAGAAGGGCATGTCCTCTGGGTATGCATTGCATCCTGTGCTCCTATCACCTTCCAACCGTCCAGTTAACTCCTCATCCTTGCATGATTTAATACTGGAATCCCTATCTTTATTTCCACCCCATTTCTGTCTTCTGATGTGGGGATTGAACATAATGTTGTAAACTAGGTTCTTACTGTAGCCTTTTATTACTTTACATGAACGCACTTTAATGTCATCTTATCTCAGACTTCATTTACTAGTAATAGACTGGTCACTTCCACATCTGTTTCTGAGCCTCACACCTACAAAGCCAGCTGAACCCACTTGGATGTTTCATGGAACTGAAAAAATTTACCCACTCAGAATCTGAACTCATCTTTATCATAGACTGATTCTTTTCCTGTTCTCAAAATCTTGTTATACAGTACTTCATACTTTGTGTGTCTGTGTGGGTGCAAACTGTTGAAATCTTTACTTAGTATATATTAAGTTGATCTTCTATATATAAAGATAATTAAAAATGAATCTTAATGAAGAATGGGATGGGAGAGGGAGTAGTAGATGGGATGGTTTGTGGGTGGGAGGGTGGTTATGGGGGGAAAAACCGCTATGATCCAAAAGTTGTACTTTCAAAATTTATATTTATTAAATAAAAGGTTTTTTTTTTTTTTGACAGGTAGAGTTATAGACAGTGAGAGAGAGAGACAGAGAGAAAGGTCTTCTTTCTGTTGGTTCAATCCCCAAATGGCCGCTACAGCTGGCACTGCGCTGATCTGAAGCCAGGAGCCAGGTACTTCTTCCTGGTCTCCCATGCGGGTGCAGGGGCCCAAGCACTTGGGCCATCCTCCACTGCCCTCCCAGGCCAAAGCAGAGAGCTGGACTGAAAGAGGAGCAGCTGGGACTAGAATCTGATGCCCGTATGGGATGCCGGCACCACAGGCGGAGGATTAACCAAGTGAACCACGGCAGCAGCCCCTAAATAAAAGTTTTCTAAAAAAAATCTTGTTATATAGAGTCAATGTCTATCCAGCCTCCCAGGTCAGAATTCTGGGAGTCATTCCAGATTTCTATATACTCTTGGAGGCCACATTTCATCAGTGACTTCCTCCCTAAGCTGCACCCATTGTCCATGACTCTAAAGCTTATGATTCATCCTCTCCAAAGAATAAAACAGAATTAAGAAGGCAACTTTGATAGTAAGCATGCTTGGATTCAAATCATCACTTCCAATATATACTGTGAAATTGTTAGCAAATTACTTAAGCTTTCTGTTCCTGTTTTTTCAACTGTAAAAGGGCATACAATAAAACAGATAAATTGAGTAATGATGTGTGAAATGTCTAGAACATGGTAAGTATCTTTTAGTTATGTTGTGATATTAATGATAATGATGGCTGAGTGAAACCAGGAGGGGCAACCACTTTAACTACATTAATTAAGGAAAACGATTTGAAGGATATGAGTTGTTTCTTAACCAGATTTTCAACCACCCTTTATTCAGCCCCACTCTGTACCGCTGCCTAAAGGAACCCTGCTGTGGTTTGAACAGGATTTGACTCTGGAACTCATGCAGATGTTTACATCCCAAAGTTAGGGGTTTGTGGTGCTAGGAAGTTGGAAGATAATCCAATCTCCTAATTATCTAGGAGATGGGCTGAGTGGGAAGTCACTGGGGGTGTGCATGGGAGGTTGGGTGTCTGGGCCTGAGTTGGGCCCAGCTGCCCTCGTTGCTGCCTGGCTCACCATCTGATCCTTCCTCTGCACATTGCCATCCTCTGGCTGAATCAGTGGGGTCTGCCTGATTTTGGAATGTGAACCCCCAACGTGAGCCAGAATAAACCTCCTTCCTTCATAAGTAGCTCCTCTCAGGTATTTATTGCCCCAGTTCCTTGGAGCCCCAAGATTTCATAGGTTTTATTTGCTTCTTATGGGCTTTCCCTTTGGGGTTGTTCAACTCTTTATGCTCTACACCTGCACTCCCCCATACAGGAGGCAACTAGCTACACCGGGCTAACAAGCTGTTGAAATGTGGCTGGCGGTGCTACACATTTTGAAATCACGGTGTTTTGGTTCACTTACCAACTGAAATTAATTTTACACATTTATCTGTACTTTTTAATAAAATGTGGCTACTGGAAAAATTTTAATTACACATGTAGCCTGCATGTTCCTATCCAATAGTGTTGCTCTGCACCTTACAGAATCTTGACATTTCTCATCTGCTTTCAGTTTTCTACCATTCTCTTTCCTCTTTCTTCATTTTCGTTTTAGGAGCTGTCTGGGAAAGCAGATAAAGGCATGAATTACAACTGCCATGTTTACCTGGAAGTTCCATCAAAGCTTTTCGCAAGTAGCTGCTGCTTGTATTTGTAGTCTGATTCATTTGTGTCCTATCAACAACTCTAGCCCAGCCAAAATGAATCACTGACAATTTTCTGAACACACCAGGAAGCGTCCAGCTTTCTGTTCTTCTCTGGGATACCCTTCTAACCCTTCCTCCTTGTCTGCCTGGTACCTTATTGTGCTTCAAAAACGAACTCCGACCGCCTTTTCTAAGGCGCTTTTCCCGACGCCTGTATTGTCTTGTTTAGATAGCTACTTGTTGCCCTACAGGGGAACCCATCAGTCAGTCATCAGGAAGTTTTAAGAGGTGGAGATGGCATCAGCAATTTTCCAGGCAGTGGTAACAGGATGATCTCCTGAAGACAAGGTTTATGCTAGGGCAACAGCAAACCACCCAGTTTGGATGGAGTGCTGCAAAGACCAGAAGGCGCCGGGGCTCGAAGTCGCAGAATGGAGTCGATTGTTCTGAAGATAACAAAGTTATAGAACGGGAGTTAGTGAAAGGTCTTAAGTTGTGGAGAGAAAATTGGTCTCGTGATTTAGTATTATCACTTGTGGCTGCCGACAGAGACCAGATTCGAGGGGGCAGGAGCGGAAGCTGGAAGAAGGCGAGGTCATTGCGATAAAGAAGGAAATGGGTGGGGTGGGTGGTGAGCAGAGGCGGTCAGTGCGGATGGAGAGAAGGGTGCAGCCACTGGAGTGAGGGGGAGCGGAATGTATGGGACTCGGTGGCGGGCGGCTGACGGGAGTGAGAGGCAAGGCGGAGCTTCTACTTAGTGACAACGCGAGGGCGAGGGTTCCAGTTCCAAGGATTCGTCACCCCGCCGGGGGAGCGGGTCAGCTCGCTCGGCGGAGGCAGAGGCGCGGGCGCCTCGCGCACCTTGTCCCTCGCGCGACTCCGTCCGCGCAGCCCGCGGTTTGGTCGCGAGCGGCCGCCGCGCTAAGGTTCCGGTTCCGGCTCCGGCTGGAGTCTGCACCGTCGGCGACGGTGAGCAGCCATGGCGTACTCCACAGTGCAGAGAGTGGCCCTGGCCTCGGGTCTCGTCTTGGCTCTGTCGCTGTTGCTGCCCAAGGCGTTCCTGTCCCGTGGCAAGCGGCAGGAGCCGCCGCCGGCTCCCGAAGGTAAGAGCGGGCCTGCAGCTCTCGCTGTAGACGGATACCGAGAACGCTGGTTGAGGGAGGGCAGACTCTGGGCGTCCCTGATCCCCACCAAGGTACCCGGCAGACCGGCCGAGGAGGCGGCCGAGGCGGCGGGTGGGAGGACCCGAGCCCCACGGTTCTCGTGGCATCCGCGGGCGGCGGTTCAGCTCCTCCCGGGACGGGGTCGCTCCGGGGGTTCTGCGGCAGGAAGGGTCAGGAATGCACACCTGCCTGGGCACCCTCTAGGTAGTCGCGCGCCCGCCCACCCTGTAGGCTGGCAGCCCCGTTCTTCCTCCCCTCACTGGCGTCACTCATCTTGTCAACCGTCTGTTCACGTGCCTCGAGCCAGTAGACCTCCAGCGGGCTTTCCCTCGTTAGGGTTTGCCAGTGCTTTCTGTTAATTTGGAGAAATGACGTCATTTGGAAGTGATGGTGTTAGCTCGTGTACTTTCAGCTGGGTGTGGGGCGCTCAATGCTTTAGGCTCTTTTTCATGCCTTTAGAAACATTACCTGAAGACTTTAATAAGCCAAGTTTCAGTGACTGAGCTGACAACGAACAAATTACTGCGTACCTCTTAATTAAGCAAGTATTTGTCTTGGAGGTTGACCACCTGTCAATCCTTTGTTACTGGTGTGGTGCTGTTTAAAAGCCCAGCCCCTTGTCTGCATTCCTGGGCTTTTACAGAATGAAGGTAGAGGTATGGGTGCTGAAGGCTGGGAGAAGGAGCAGAACTAGTCTCTGTAGGTCGGAAGTTTTACTGGTAACTTTCTCTTCTGAGTTGTTCCATTAACATCCTTGAGTCACGATTTTATGGGCTCTGAACGCTTCCACCATTGCTGAACCTGTTGACTGCTGGACAGCTCCCTGTGGACTGTGTAATCCATTGCCCTCTGATCTCTGCTCTGTAGTTCCATCCTCCCGAGCATCCTAGATTACATACACTATAAACGTGGAGCACCAGGCTTTAGGAGTGGAGAGCAGACTGGACAAACAATTCTCGTTACAGAATTGCTTTGTAATCTTTATGCTTGTTAACACTATCCACCTGGAAGAGACTTTGAAAACATCTTTGCACATTTGTCATTTCTGTCTTATTGAAAAAATCTAAAGGCTTTCTTTTGTCTGCCTTGGAAGGAATAAATTCATGATGCTCTTGTACAGTGAAGATTCTCTTAAACAGCCTTCTGTGTTCATTTGTGCTTTCTTTTGTTCTCTACTGAGTTGAATTCCCCTTATAGTGAATTATCTTAAACAAGCACTATTGAATGTGAGTGTGAGGTGCTCCTATCAGTGTTGAGGAGGGTATAGAGAGGAGAATAGATGTGGCTTCTCCCCTGAGAACTCAGATGCTGGTATTTAATGTTCTCAACTTTTAGGATCTTTGTCCTTTCTGATCTTTATTCCTGAAGTATTCTTACATTAGCTTCTTTCTTTCTATTCAAGTTTCAGCATAAGTGTAACCTATTCAGAGAGACTTTCCCTAATGACCCTAGCTAAAATAACTTTCCATTCTGTCACTCCCATTCCATCTTGTTTTCTTCACTGAATCCCTGTATAGTACAAAAGATCTTCAAAATCTCCATGGAAATGTGTATTGTGCAACCATCTTGTTTTATTTTCTTCATTGAATCACTGTGTAATACAGGATATCTTCAAAAATTCATGGAAAATGTGCATCATGCAAAAACTATGCACGAATTGCAATTTTTTTGCCTCAAAGTAAACTTATTTAATACCATTTTCCATGAGTTTTTGAGGTACTCTAGTGTGAAATCTTCTTTTTTTTGGTCTTCATCGTTAAGAATGCAAGCTGCATCAGGATAGGAACCTTTGTCTTTTTTTGTAACCAGTATTTTTTAGTGCCTGACATAATAATATATACTTTTACATGAATAAATTTAACTTATGAAGCTACAATATTGTGAATTCTCTTTCCATATTACAAATTACTGAAGTAGTATAATCTAGGCAAAATCTTTCTTTTTAATGTTTATTTGTTTTCATCTACTCGAAAGGCAAAGTGACACACAAACACAGAGGACTTCCATCTGCTAGTTCACTCTTCCAAAAGCTCACAAGTAGGGCTGGGCCAGGCAAAAGCCAAGAGCCTAGAAACCCATTTGGGTCTCCTGTGTGGGTGTCAGGAGCCTAAGTACTTGAGCCATCCTGTGCTGCATCTCAGAGTGTGCATTAGCAGGAAGCTGGATCTGAGGCACAGTATCTGGGACTCAAACCAGCACTCCTGTATGGAATGTGGGCATACCAGGTAGTGGCTTAAACCCCGCTGTGCTGCAATGCCTGTCCCCAAATCCCACCTGAATGATATATATCAGGAACCAAACTTTGCTAACATTTTAAAAGTAGTGAATTTTAGTAATTTTTGGGTTACATGCCCCTTTCCGAATCTGATGAAAGCTTTATATTTTTCTCTGTAGAAAAATGTACATGCTATTTGTACATACATCCAAAATTTGAATTTCAATTTGGAGAATTCACAGAACCTAGAAATTCTGCTTTAAAAAAGGGACAGCCTGATTATTTGAAAAATTCTTAAAATTTAATCACTATAGCATCCAGTTTTATCCACTGAGGTATGTGAAGTGAGCACAGTCCCCTTTCCACATGATAGCATTTAAAAATGTTTTTCAATTGTATGAGTTCATGAGGTACAGCGAGATACTTCAGTAAACACATACGTTGTGTACAGATCAAACCAGGGTAATTAACATTTCCTTCTTGTCACTTTGGAGCCTTCAAGTTCCTCTGTCTGTTCATAAAAATGATCATAGGTTATTTTTTTATTTTATTTATTTATTTTGGACGGGCAGAGTTAGAGAGAGACAGAGAGAAAGACCTTCTGTTGGTTTACTCCCCAAATAGCCGCCATGGCTGGCATGCTGCACTGATCCAAAGCCAGGAGCCAGGTGCTTCCTCCTGGTCTCCCATACAGGTGTAGGGCCCAACCACTTGGACCATCCTCCACTGCCCTCCTGGGCCACAGCAGAGAGCTGGACTGAAAGAGGAGCAACCGGGCAGAATCTGGCACCCCAACTGGGACTAGAACCCAGGGTGCCGGCGCCGCAGGTGGAGGATTAGCCTAGTGAGCCACGGCGCTGGCCTCATAGGTTATTTTGAACCATAGTTACCCCACTGTGCTGTAGAACACTAGAAATTATTCTGTCTTACTTTTTTTTTAAAAGATTTATTTATTTATTTGAAAGAGATACAGAGATGCAGAGGGAGAGAGGGAGGGAAGAAGAGAGGGAGAGAGGGGGAGAGGAGAGAGGGGGAGAGGGGGAGAGAGAGAAATATGTCAATCTACCATCTGCTGGTTCATTCCCCAGATGGCTGCAATGGCTAGAGCTGAGCCAGTCCGAAAACAGGAGCCAGGAGTTTCTTCCAGGTGTCCCATGTGGGTACAGGGGCCTAAGGACTGGGTCCATCTTCTGCTTTCCCAGGCCATAGCAGAGTGCTGTATTAAAAGCAGAGCAGCCGGGACTCAAACTGGCACCCATATGGGATGCTGGCACTGCAGGCGGAGGCTCTACCCGCTACACCACAGCACCAGCCCCTGTCTTACTCTTTTGGTACCTGTTACCCAATCTCCCTTTGCCTTTGTCCCTTCCCAACCTCTAGGAATCACTATTTTATATCCAGATTGACTTTTTTTTTTTAACTTTATCTATACTTTATTTTTAAGATTTTATTTATTTTATTTGAGAGAATTACAGACAGTGAGAGGGAGAGACAGAGAGAAAGGTCTTTGTTCTGTTGGTTCACTCTCCAAATGGCCGGAGCTGCACCGATCTGAAAACTGGAGCCAGGTGCTTCTTCCGGGTCTCCCACGAGGGTGCAGGGACCCAAGCACTTGGGTCATCTTCCACTGCTTTCCCAGGCCATAGCAGAGAGCTGGACTGGAAGTGGAGCAGCCAGGACTAGAACCGGCACCCATATGGGGTGCCAGCGCTGCAAGTGGAGGATTAACCTCCTGTATCACAGTGCCAGCCCCCAGATTGACTTTGTTTTAACCTCTATGTATGAGACAGAACATGTAATAATTGTTTGTTTTCTAAGTCTGACTTGCTTCACTTAACATAATGTACTCTAGTTCCATCTATTTTGTTGTGATACCTTTCTTTTTATGGGTTAATACTCTGTTATGCATATATATATATATATATACACCACATTTTTGTTATCCAGTCATTCGTTGATGGGCATCTATATTGATTTTGTAGCTTATAGTGGATAGTGTATCAGTAAACATGGGAGTGCAGGTTCCTGTTTGATATGCTGATTTCATTTCCTTTGAATATATACTCAGAAGGGGGATAGCTAGATCATGTGGTAGACCTATTTTTATTTTTTTGAGAAAATTTCATACTGTTTTCCATACTGGCTGTTATTAATTTGCATTCTACCAACAGTATATAAGAGTTCTCTCCTCTCCACACTTCAATTTCTTTCTTCAATGCTTTATAATTTTCTTTGTAGAGCTCTTATATATGCTTAGTTAAATTTATTCCTAGATATTTTATTACTCTTGGTAGCTGTGTGAATAGGGCAGATTTTGATGTTTTTTTTTTTTTTTTACTGAATTTGTTATTAATGTATACAAATGCTATGGAATTTTGTGTGTTGATTTTGTGTCCTACAACTTTACTGAACTTGTTTATCAGTTCTAGTAATCTTTTGGTGGAGACTTGAGATTTGTCTGCATATTGAATCTTCTATATTATGGGATAATTTGACTTCCTATTTTTTAAAAAAATATATTTATTTGAAAGGCAGAGTTAGAGAGGGGGGGAGAGAGAGCAAGTGAGAGATCAATCCTCCATCTACTGGTTCATTCCACAATTGTCCTCAGAAGCCTGGGCTGGACCAGGCTGAAGCCAGGAGCCTGGAACTTCATCTGGATTTCCCACGTGGATGGCAGGAACCCAAATATTTTGGCCATCTTCTGCTTCTTTTCCCAGACACA